CTAGGCCAGTTTCTGTTTGAAATGTAGTTCTGGTTTTTTCTCAGTTATTGATTAACGTATTGACTGTCATTATTTTGTTCTTCAATCTTTGTAAGGTTATGATGATCCAAGCTTTCACTTGTCTTCTCTTTTTTTCGGTCCGAGAAATATGTCTGGTCCTTACATTCGATGAATTTTGTTAAAAGTGATCGTACATTAGACTTTGACATTGATTGTTTGTCCAGTACTCAATGAAAATGCTCCTAATCCCCCACCCCTCCCCTTTTTCTGAAGTTTAAAGTTGAATATGATTTTAGATTTAACTTTGGTGATGGAGGAAGTGGCAAAAGAATGCTGAGGGGAGAGTTTTTTGGGATTTCTGGATTCCCTTTTCTTTTCTTTATTCTTAAAAACATTACTTGTTGGTTCCTCTCCCCACAAACATATATCATATTTTATTTGAATAATGATATAAAATTTATTGAGTACATATTTATATATAATTTATACATTACACTATCTTTTTAACTACTTTTTTTTTTTGTACTTTTAACACTTCATTTCTTGTAATTTATATATGTGAGGATGTTAGAGATGCATGAAATTCCTTGAGTGCAGCTTCTTCCCCTGCAAATCTTCTTACTGATGGCATCACTTGTACTACCTACTTAAGAAGAATGTTAAGCATCATATTTTGAATTGTTCTGCCAGGACGATGATAGGAAATTGTTTGGATGATCTTACATGAAAAGAGCCAGCTAATTAGTACATCTATAATTTTAGGTTATTTGAATTGTTTCCAAAATGAAATTTATTAGGATAATTTAAAAATAAATAAACTAATAATTACTACATAATAATTGCTAATTAGATAAATAAATCACACAAAGCTGGCCTAAAAAAATTTCAAACTTAAAAAAAATATAATATGTTTTTGGCAAGATAGATCTTTAAAAGTTATTATTTGATTTCTTATCTAACCCAAGTCTTAAATTAAACCATTTAGAATATCTGAATATATAACGATTGACCTAGCAGGTTGAAACAAGCCGGACAACATGCAAAAAAATTGTTGACGGGTTTTATATATAAAAACTTAATTTTTTTTGTTCAAACATTTTATTTAGAAATATATCTAAACTAAGATGGTGTTATTAAAATCTTAAAAAATATATTGTAAATAGTTTAGCTATATAAGTGAGAAATAATGAATCTTTAAGAATAAAGAATTCATTATTCACAGCAACAAAAGTTTCATTATTTTATTTTAATTTAAACATGGATTGTTTTTTATTATTAATATGTGTTGTCACACCCGGACATCGCGGCGACCTTAAAAATATAATTCATGGAAAGAATGAATTTCTGGCATCTAGTTCTTTGATGGGGGAAGGTCTTGTTTAAGGAGTCGCCACCTAGTATTATGGTCACTAGGAACCCTAACTGGTCAACAGAGATTCTATGGTTCGGGACTGGTTACGTAAAAGGGAAGATATTATCACCCCTTAAACGTCCTGCCTAAGACAGACTGCATTGCTAGTTTCGTCTTAAATTGCTATATGTTTATTAGTTTGTGCTATGATAATTTGCTTATAATATCCCTAACTCTAGCGTCACTGAATATTTAACTACGGATATTTCCAACTCTAGCGTTGGTAAATATTACGCAACTATAGAAACAAAATAAATCTAAATCAATATTTTTTATTCCTAACTCTGGCATCAGTGAATAAACAAATCAAATAAATTTATTTTTTACACATGCACATATTTTTTATTTTTCTAGCTAAATAAAATAAAATACAATGAATAAAAATAATATAAATTTGAACTGGTATTTTTATTCCTGACTCTGGTGTCAGTGAATAAACCAATAAATTTATATTATTTTTATTCATGCATGCACATTTTTTATTTTTTTTATTTTTTGTTACTTTTATGTTCCTGACTTTGGCATCAGTGAACAATTCCTATGAATATTTCCAACTCTGGCGCTGGTAAATATCGCACAAAACCAAAAATACAATACTCCTAACTCTGATATCAGTTAATATTTTTGCAAAAAATGAATTTGAAGAAGAAATTTTCTATGTCATTTTTTTTATTTATTATTTATTATTATTTGCCCTTTTTGGATGGAAGTTTTTTTTAAAAAAAAAAATTGCACTACATATTTGTATTTAACAGAAATAGTCCACAAATTGAGCACATCTACAAAAACAATACAAGCACAAAGAAAAAAAAGTGTGAGGGGTCCACAAATAAATCAACGAAGGTCCCAAATATTTTTGGAATTTCATGTTATCGAAAAGGGGTTCGTTTGTTGAAATATCAAATTAGAATAGGCGTGTGGTTGTTGAAGGCAAAGTCGAGGGAGACTGGGAAGAAAAAGGGTTGAGGGGGGCGGCGGCTAGTATGGGGTTCGCCGCCCCCTTCTTTTTTATGTTTCTCTCTTTTAGGGTTTCTAGTAATGGTCTCCTCTTGAGATTTTTTTTTTTAGGGTTTCTCTCTAATCATCCTCCTTCCTCTCTCTCTCCTTTTTTTGCTCTGTTTTTCTAGGTTAATTCTTTGTTCTCGGGTTTATCCTCTTTTTTTTCCCTTCCCCCCTGAGATTTGTATTTATAGTGCAAGAGTCCCATCACTTGCGAGAAGTAAAGTCTCAATCAAACTCATTCTTTTTTTTTTTTAAGTTTGAATTAGAATCGAATTCGAAAATAGACAACTATCATTATCTTGAGGATTATCTTGAAGAAGATAAGGATTATCTTGAAGGTAAGGATTATCTTGAAGAAGATAAGGATTATCTTGAGGATAAGGCTAGAATGACAAAGGCATATTGTAGTCCTTAATTTTCACGGAAGTTACAAATCACACTTTTCATCGAAATAAATCTCTGATCTTTTAATTTTTCATTTTAAACCCTGTAAAAATTAAATTAAAAGCCAAAGAGCCAAAATTGGGTTATGACATGTGTTTTATAACTTTGAATTACAATTAAGTTTGACTACATAATTAATATGCATGCTATAATTATATTATTATTTTTTGTATTAAAAGCATATTGCAGTTAATTATGTTTATACCTTTAAACATTTATAAGTTCTATCTTTTTATTGGATATTTTTTATTTAGCATATTTTTATGATAATAAACCAAACATTACTAGTGTACAATCTTAGCATAAACCAAACATCTTTACTCGTTAATCTAATATATATTTACAAAACTTTGATTTACTATTACTAGCTACAATCTTAGCACCGTCAAAATGTTAAACTTGATTGAAGGGTAGTATTGCCATCATGATAGAGCTTGCTTTTGGGACATAAGGAGCGGGAGCCATGTCTAAAGGTTTGTCCTGCTTTGGGCTAGCTGCGATATGTGCACGCGTAGCTGCTTTTTGTACTAGCTGTGGTATGTGCTTATTTAGCTGTTTTTGCATGGTCCTAGGGTCCATTGGGATGGCTAGTGTCAAGTGAAATTTTCCCTATGAAGATCCGATCGGCCGGACAAGCCACCAATGTCTCGATTAATTAACATGTAAGTGGTAAGAACTTGGGATTAAGGGGTTTGTTCTCTTTATGGTCTCAGATTCGAGTCCTTGGTTGCTCATATGATGGTTACTAGAGGCTTACATGGTCGTTAACTTCAGGGCCCGTGAAATTAGTCGTGGTATGCGCAAGCTGGTCCGGACACCCATGTTAATCTAAAAAAAAAAATTAACATGTTCTTCACCTTAGTGATTGGCTATTTCTTCCTTTCCATGCTTTGTCATATGAAGTTTGGTCTGTTCTACTTATTCTTTGCTGGGTTTTTTTATTTTCATGTCTACTTTCATATATTATTTTGTGTCTGAGACTAAAAACCTCCCAATTGCAGAAAAGAAATGAGCCAAGTGTGGAAATAACATTGGTTCTGGTGCAAATATGTCTCTAACGAAAAAGTTACTAGCAGCACGACCGGCAAACCTTAGACAAGCAAAGTGCTTCTGGTGAAGGTAGAACAAGTTATGATCATGGCATAATAGCACGACAGAAATTGGGAAAAGACCAGCATCCTTCAAAAATCTCGATACAATACTCCAACTTTATTTACAATTTCAAATCCAATTCTTTCTCCCAACGAGCATGTTAGATCAAACTAAATTTAACTTGTTAACCATAACAAGTGGCAAGAAAAACAATCACACCTAAAGGAATACTATGCAGCAAATGTTCTGTGTCATTTAACAAATTAATTGTAGTGGAATGTTATGGATAGAAGAAATGGTAATTACTTTTTTCATTCCATTGCCTCATGTCAAATTCTATTGTGCTTTATCAAAATACCTATTACATGTAGGAGGGATGATCTTGGCCTATGTGTCTCAATGATTTGGCTTACTAAAAATGAAAGATTTTCTTTCTACTTTCAAGGTTGGTTCAATAGAATTTCTTGGAATAATATGAGATGATCTAAAAGTAAATTTCATTTACATTATGAAGAACAAAGAAAATGAATTGAAACTCTATAAGGCGTTACCATTTCACAATAGCAAGAGACATATATTACTGTAAATTATTATAGTGAAATGACTAGTTTGTTCTTGAGTGAAAAAAATAACAACATTAGTTGTAGGGGTAATTTGGTTTTTTCAATAACTCATTAGTTATTAAAAGATTATTCGAAGGTATGTAAATCTTTTTTAGTTTTTTTAACCCTTAAATTTTTTTTATGCCCTTTAATTTATTTTTTATTTTGATTTCCACACTCTTTTTGTAATTAAAATTTTTTAAATGATTGATTTTTTTCTCAGTTTCATCTTTCTACATTTGACTTATTCCAAATTAGGCTTTTTTATTTTTTTTATTGATTGTGATTTTGATCTAATGGCACGGGTTATGAGTTTTGAGACTTAATATGGTAAAGGATCCTTTTTTCCTCATTTTTATTTATGATTTTATCATTATATGTTATTTTCTTATAAAAAATGATCTTATAATTATTTTCAATTTATTTTCTATCAGTATCATGATTTAAACCATGAGTTTTGCATGCTTTTTTTTAATATAAGTTATTAAGAAAAATTATTTTGGGAACAGTCCCTTTCCACCTATGTCTGCAAGTGGTTGACTTAGTATCTTATCTCCCGTTGTCTTTATTATCATAATTTGGATAGCTCAATCTTCAGCTAGCTCTGCATGTGAAGCCATGAGTTTGCCCCGTGTCTAATGAGCTTGAGCAAGTGCAAGCGGGATGTCAAACATGTGAAAAGAAAATCAACAAGCAAAACAACATAAGAAAATATCTGGCTAGAAGAGATGGCACAAAATAGAATGTGTTCATATAAGAGGGGAAGATGGGACTCTCCCTCAAGAAAGAGACATTCATAACCTCATATTCAGAAACTTATGATATAAGACATGCAAAGATAAATTACAATATTGAAATGAGACATTGAGGAAATGGTGAAAGAAAACATGCAGGGTTAAATTGCAGAATCAACTCGTCAATTGGCAGAAGTAAGCAGCCTAAGGGATCATTTGGAGAGTGATCATGAATTCATGACTCATTTTAAGAACCTGTTTCAAAAGCATAAGTAAAGGAGACAACTTCTTGATTATAATAAATATTAAGGAGATTTTGGTGATCTAATGATGAGGTAGATATGGATTAATATTCTACACCAATTTATGATGTTTAACTTGATGATGGTTATGTTGACAATGATATCATATACAATTATAATAATAGTAATGATGATATCATTAATGATGTTCTTATTGATAATTTAGAGTTTGATTGCAAAGAAAACATGGAAGATGCTCAACAATAAAATTATTAAATTAAATTATATTGAAAATTTTGATTTCAAGTTTAAGATTATCATAAATGTAGATTTGTTCAAGAGTTATTTTGATATAACACATGTTAATGAAACAAGTTTAAGGTTTGCAATTTATTACTCTATAAGCAAATGAGAGTGAAATAATTTGTGAATTATTGTATTTTATATAAATTTTAAGATGAAGTGATTGAAATTGTTGTATAAAACTATTATACACCCAAAAGGAAAAAAAAAAAAAAAAAGGGTTGAAGAGCCTTGATTGAACATCCACAAAAACGAGACAAGTGTTTTTAAACCCAGGGGAACTGATGCAGGAGGCTTTTAAGGACAATTATTTTTCCTTTTTTTTTTGTTATTTTTTTCTATTTAATTTAGAAAATTAAATAATATGTTTAATAATTTTATTTTTCTTGTTTAGGAATTTTCTTTTTTTCTTTCAGGTTCCCTATTTTGTTTAGCTTGGTTTTTTAATTTATTTAAGGAGTTGCAAGCCTCTTAACACAACAGAATACTATGATTAGGGTTTTTGTGTGATCATTTCTTTCGAAGATTTTGTATTCTTGTCTTTCTCGTATGTTTTCAATATGCGTCAATTTCCCATTCGATGAGCATATCAAGCTCCAGCATCTACCTATATCTAAACACAAAATGACATGCAATTAAGTAGAAGCTTTCGGATTACTGAAACCAGAACGTACAAAGATTCACGAACAAAAACAACACCAGTAACTAATGAAATGAATAAAATTGAGACAAATCAAAACCACTTTTCACAAACAGATGCCAATCTAGAAGAAAAAAATTGAAGTCAAAGTCAACACAAACCGCAGCAGTTATTGAATTGATCAACTAAAGTCAGAGCTAAATCTCTTTTACCGACTCAAAAAACTCAAAACCACAATAGCCAATTCAAACAGAACTTCCACTTAAAGGATCATTGCTTGCAATTTGCAGAGCATCCCAACTATCTGTTGAAGCAATTAGACCAGCAAAGAGCAACCTTAAATCTACCAAATATAGAGAACCCAATTTCAATCAAACACGAAAAAAATCAAACAATTAATAAGAAATAATACCAATATTATCAAACAAAACAAATCCCACAATTCAAAATTGACAAAAAACAAAAAAAGAACTTTCAGTACCTTCCTCTGGTGCCAATTCTAATGAGAGCAAGTTTAGCTTCCTGGGCTTGCTGTTCAGCAGCAACAGAAGCCTTCACAAACCTCAAAGTCTGTTTCTTTCTCAAAAAAGCTTGAGTCTTTACAGAAAACCCAGTGAAGGAAACAGACCCGCTAGTGCAAAAAATGGCTGGACTTGATGGACGGATCATTAGAGCTTCACTTGTACAAAGAGAAGATAGAGTCCCCATTGAAGAGAGGGGGAGAGAGTTATGGTTTAGCTTTGAAGGGAGGGATGATTTTGTAGTCTGATTGAACTGTGATGTGTTGGGGTTCGGTAGAAGTAGATGAGTCCCCTGCTTGACTGCCTGCTGACGGATCTGGCTTGGAATTGGATAGGATATTGGGGTTACATGCTTTTATCCGGTTCTTTACGATGTCGGTTCCCACCGTTCATTGACCTTTTCTTCCTCTTCTCCTCCACCTTCCGGTGGGCGCATGATGGCCCATTTTTGCCATACCAAAAATTACTTGTGATTTTTTTTTTAGTAAAAAAAATCTTATAACTCGAAATTCTTTGCGGAGATGTTCTAAACCTCTAATTCCATCCTTTAAAAATCAAGATGATAATATATAAAAAAAATTATTTATTACCATACTCTAACATCTAAAGATAAATTTAATAAAGCAAGTTTATTATATGATATGAATAGTTATTATAATTTATAAGTTTAGTGAGAGGCTTAATAATTGCATATTAAGTAGAGTATGTGTTAGCCAATGATTAAGTAATCCGAAATCTCTAACTTTTAAAAGATTGATCATTAATGATTTTCTGATTAATTAAGTTATTTTAAAAAAAAAACTAATTTTAAACGAAAGCATATAAAAAATGTATATTGTTTTAGATACTATTAAATAAAATGAATAAAAAAGTAAAAATCAAAAGAAAGTAAACTGGAATGTAATAAAAAAAAATGTAAATAAAGTAGTAGATGGAAAAAAAAATTGCAATAAAGATGCAAAAAAAAATTATATACAGAGAGCTAACCATTTTTTCTAAATGATCTATTTATATTATAATATTAAAGTTTTATGTAAATACCTAAATTTAATTTTATACATGCTTTTTATAGTAGATACAATGATTAAGTGATGAATTTTAAAACAAACTGAATTTTAATTTTTCATGTTTTTCCTTTCAATTAATTACATGAAATAAACATATTCTATAAATATCAGTTTATTTTTGTTTCTAAATGAGATTGAATCTTTTAATTGATTGTATAAACTTTTATTATTATGGTTTTTTTATTTTTTATAATTGATTGTGACTCTTGGTTAATTTTATTATTATTAATCAATTTTAGCTTTTTATTGTTTAATAATGAACTTATTGTTAAGATATCAAAGGTTCTGCTTCAGCCACCTGTTAAAGAAAATAAAGAATATAATAGTTAGCAAGTTTGTTAATGTGGTTAGACAGTTAATAAATTCTGTTATTATTGAGTAGAATACATAACTAAGCTTCTCACCTTCTATTTGATATAAAAAGAATATAACAGTGCTGGGAATAAACGTATTGAATAATACACAAATATTTTCTTCTTCCTCTGCATGACAACAACATCTTTCTCTACTTCTATTTGCTTCTTATTAATCTTTGTAAACAATTCTTGTTAGCTTATCATGGTATCAGAGCTTAGGATTGTTAGTATCTTGTGATCTTGTGATTTCTCTGCTTCTGGCATTACTATTGCCATATTCAACCAATTCTTTCAACATAATCAGATTGCCTATCATCTGTTTGATATATTGTCAAACTGAAAGATTTCTCTTCAAATACTCTTCTCAAACCTGTGATTCTCTTCCTCACTATCTTTTGAACTTCAAAAATGGTAACAACCTCTCAACTACAGATTATTCAATCTCCTATTACCTCTTTACTTCCTATAGTTTCAACAGCTGTAACAGTTAAATTGGATGACATAAATTATCTCGTCTGGAATTTTCAAATGCAAATTCTACTGGAGAGTCATGGCATTTTAGGATTTGTTGATGGATCAAGAAAGTGTCCAAATCGGTTTGATGCAAATTCTGATATTGAAGGTGTTGAAACTGATGATCATCAAATTTGGAAAATGCATAACCGGGCATTGATGCAGTTGATCATTGCTACCCTCTCTTCAACTGCAATCTCCTATGTTATTGGATGTGTTAGCTCTCATGACATGTGGATTCAACTAAAGGATAGATTTTCCACGGTTACCAAGGCACGTATTTTTCAGATGAAAAGTGAGCTTCAAACCATCAAGAAGGGCTCAGATACTGTGTCTCAATATTTGCAGAAAATCAAAGATGCTCGGGATCATCTTTCTGTAGCAGGTGTTCATTTTGAAGATGATGATATTGTAATCTTAGCTTTCAATGGTCTTCTTTCTGATTATAACACCTTTCGGTATATGGTTCTTGGCCGAGACAATGTGTTATCCCTTTAAAGATTTTTTGTCTCAATTGCTGGCTGAAGAAGCTACTCTTGAGCAAACTTATTTTGCTTCATTTGTTCCTGCAATGATGGCTCAACATCAAGGATCTCCTGGCAAGGTTCATGCTCTTGATGAAGGTAACTCTCATTCTCATCCTTCTAGCTTCAAGTATGCTCCACCACATGGTCTCAATGGAGGGTTTAATGGTCATAATAATAGCTTTCATGGTTCCAATGGTGGATACTTTGGCAATTGAGGGTCTCACTTTAAGGGACGTGGTAGAGGACGTCATCAGTATCAGTTTAGTCCATATCCTTATTAGGTTTCACTTATGTCTAACTCTAGTATTCTTTGTCCTGGCATTGACATTCCTATATGTCAAATTTGCATTAAGAAAGGTCATGTAGCTGCTGATTGTTATCAGCGTCACACTCTGCCTATTAATTCTGCCTCTTCCATTCAATGTCAAATTTGTTGGAAATTTAGGCACACTGCAATTCAGTGTTATCATCGAGGTAATTTCAGCTATCAAGGCTAGCCTCCCTCCAGTAATCGTAGTGCTATGCATGCCACTTTTCCACCTCCTTCTCCTCCAGAACAATTTTGGGTGGCTGATACTGGTGCCACAATGCATATGACCTCTGATTTGGCTCAACTTAATCTGGCTGCACCTTTCTCAGGAGATGATACTATTACCATTGTTGGAGGTTCAGGTTTGACCATTTCTAATATTGGTTCTTCTAGTCTGGATGTCCCTCATTACTCCTTACAATTAAAGCAAGTTCTACATATGCCACAATTATCTCAACACTTGTTATTGGTTTATAAGTTATGTAAAGATAACAACTGTCATTTTATTTGTGATGCTTTTGGTTTTTGGATTCAGGACAAAATCACAGGGAATGTCCTCCTCAAAGGACTGTGTAGAGCTAGGTTATATCCTATTCCTTTCTCTTTTTCATTTCCTTCGCAGTCTCTCTTTCCAAATAATCCAGTTTGTTATCTTGGTAAACAGGTCAACACAAGTCTCTGGCACAAGTGTTTTGGTCATCCTTCTAACACAGTCACCTTTGCTATTTTAAAACAATCCCAGATTTCTTTTACTTTAGACACATCTAAATTCATTTGTACCACTTGTTTAGAAGGTAAACTTGCCAAACTCCCTTTTCCTTATTCGGCAGTTAACTTTGTTAAACCTTTAGAGGTCATTCATAGTGATGTTTGGGGGCCTTCTCCCACTGTATCTGTTAATGGTTTCAGATATTATGTGAGCTTCATTGATGAATGTACTTGATTTAATTGGATTTTTCCAATGATCAATAAAGGAGAGGTTTATTTAATTTTTGTCTACTTTCATAGCTTCTTAGTTACTCAATTTTCTGCTATTCTTCGGGTCTTTCAGAATGATGGGGGTGGTGAGTATCTTAGTAATAAATTCAAACATTACCTCCTTACCAAGGGTATTATCCATCAAATGTCTTGTCCCTATACTCTGGAACAAAATGGCCTTGCTGAGCGTAAATATCGGCATGTTTTAGAAACAGCCATCACTTTATTACAAACTGCCCATTTACCTCTGAAATTTTGGTTTTATGTTTGTGTTGCTTCCATTTATTTGATAAATAGCATGCCCTGTCAAATTCTTCAACTCAAATCATCATATTTCCTACTATACGATTCTCCACCGGTTGTTACTCATTTGCGCATTTTTGGTTGTGCTTGTTTTCCTTTACTCAAACCTTATAATTCTAACAAGCTTCAGCCCAAGACTTTCATTTGTATTTTTCTAGGATATGCAAGGCAGTATAAAGGGTATATTTGTTTTTCTATTCGCACCAATCGTTTCTTTGTCACTAGACATGTTCTATTCGATGAATCCATGTTTCCTTACTCTTTTGTGATTCCTGCATCCCCTTCCACTTCCTCATCCCCTTGTCTACATCCTATTGTGTTCCCTCTTATTTCTCCTCCTACTCCAGCGGCTGCATCTCAGCCTACACTATCTTCCAGTTCCTCTTCTTAGTCTGCACTGTCTCACAGTTCCTCCTCATAGCCTACACTGTCTTTGCCTCTGCCTATTTTATCATCTACACAGTTTCCTCTCCCTGTTGATACTGACTTCCAGCCTGAGAATCTATGTGTGGTCTTACCTCTTTCACCACTGAATCTTCATCCCATGACCACTAGGTCAAAGAATGGTATCTCCAAAAGGAAGGCTTACTCTGCCTCTGTACAGTTTGTTGCTTCTTCTCAGGTTGAACCCCATTCCTTCAAGGCTGCTTCCACCATTCCTGAATGGCAGTCTGCTATGCGGGAGAAGCTTGATGCTCTTCATACACAAGGTTCTTGGGACTTGGTGCCTCTCCCACCTGCCAAAAATCTTGTTGGTTGTAAATGGGTCTACAGAATCAAAAAGAATGCGGATGGTTCTATTGTTAGGCATAAAGCTCAATTGGTGGCCAAGGGTTTTAGTCAAGAGGAAGGTATTGACTATAATGAAACATTTAGTCCTGTCGTGAAACCTACTACGGTTCGTTTGGTCCTTGCTCTTGCAGCTCAATTTAACTGGTCCTTACGGTAGTTTGACGTTACCAATGCCTTTTTGCATGGTCTTCTGCATGAGGAGGTTTATATGACTCAGCCTCAAGGTTTTATGAGTGAGCTTCATCTTTTTGACTTTGTTTGCAGACTCAAGAAGTCCTTAATTGGCCTTAAACAGGCTCCTCGTGCCTGGAATGAATGTTTTACCAGTTTTTTACCAAGTTTGGGGTTTCAAGCATCTCTTGCCGGTCCCTCTTTGTTTGTTCAGCATTCTTCTCTTGGTGTTGTGATTTTACTACTCTATGTTGATGATATCATACTTACTAGTAGTCATACTTCTCTTCTTTCTTCAGTCATTGCTGCTTTGACTCAAGAATTTGATATGAAGGATCTCGGCAAGTTACATTATTTTTTGGGACTGCAGATCTCTTATCTCTTTTCTGGTTTGTTTGTGTCCTAGACAGGTTACATCACTGACTTACTTGGTAGAGTTGATTTACAGCATTCCAAATCTTGTGA